GCTTGAAGACTACCTGCAGAGCCTTTCAGCCAACCCTGACTTGGCGGTGTCGAACGCTACCAAGGAAAAATATAGGAAGATCAAGGGTACATGCATTGAAAAGGCGCGGTCTGAGATAGCGGTCACCAAGGATGAGATCATCATCTAGGAGTTGGATCGGCAGAAGAAACGTGAAGCTAAGGAATTGAAGAAAGCTGCCGCAGCTGAGAAGTTGGACAGCATGGATACGGATTCGGCGATCAACGAAATCGTTCAGAAGCACGTGAAGAAGGCCGAAGAAAGCTACGCAAGGAATTCGCGGCGAAGCTGGTCAAAGGCCTATCGGCGGCACTTCAGAAGGTTACGTTGGAGAGCAAGAACTCAGAGCCGGCCTCTGCTGCTGCTTCTACGCCACCGAACAAGAAGGCGAAGAAGAAGCGCGGGAAGAAAAAGAAAGCTGACGCTCCGACCGGCGGCAAGGAGAAGGGCCAGAACACTACCTCCTCGAAGAAGGCCTGGGTTCCAAAAAACGGAGGCGGCGGCCCCGCAAAAGGGCCGCCGAACAAGAAGTAACGGCGCACGACCTCGCGCTCCGCTGGTTCGGCCGCTTGACTGCTCGACGAGTGATGTCACGCATGCGGAACAACGGGGTGCATAACCTGAGTGCTAAAACTCTTACCACTGATGAGCGGAGAGCACTCGGGATGGGTTTGAATTTTGTGCCTACACCTACCAGGAATCCGTCAGTCGAAGCAGATCTCGATCAACTGCATCGGCTGACTTCTCTTCATTTTTTCTTCAAGGAGAAGGGTGACCCGACGGAACCTGTACGCTTTCGTGTGCGGAATCCCAGTTGGAAACCTGATCGGGACGTGGTCCCGGAGTCGGTCTTCAAGGAGGCCCATTCAGACCTCTCTTTCTTGATGAAAGCGACAACGCCACGGCGTGGTTTCAACCTCTCATTGGGTGTGCGCAAGGCGTTACGCTCCCTCGCCTCTGACCGCAGCATCGTGATTAAGCCAGCTGACAAAAACGTGGGTGTGACGGTGTTAGATCGGCAGCACTACATCAACCTCTGTATGGAACATCTCGGGGATGAAGCAGTGTACAAGCCGATCCTGCATGATCCAACGCCACAGGTCGTGAAGCAGCTGCGGATTTTATAGACGACGTGGGGACCGGCTTTCCCTGACAGCCTTTAGAAGTATTTTTTCAAGGAACCACCTGGAAGGTGGCGACCAGCTGCTTTCTACGCACTACCGAAGCTTCACAAGAAAGTTCCTGTAGGGCGACCGATCGCTGCCTCATATTCATGGGTGACGACTCCTGTGAGCAAATGGCTGGACGCAAAACTTCGCCCACTGGTGCTCAACCGCCCAACCTACCTCCGGGATTCCCTCTCGCTGCTGACAACACTGGAACGGACAGCCTTTCCTACGACAGTTCTGCTCGCGATGTGTGATGTCGCCGCGCTCTACCCCAGCATCTCGATTGAGCACGGCCTTGATGCGATCAACAGTTTTCTGATGAGGGAAAAAAACACAGCTCGCCTCACCTCTCATGGCCATGCTGGGCTGAGTCATGAGGAATTCGTTCGTGGAATTCAACGGCCTGACGTATCATCAAGTACGGGGAATAGCCATAGGGACACCTGTAGCCGTTTGCTTCGCGGTCCTGTTCATGAGCCGTCTGGACGAGCTTTTGAAGGAGAAGTGGACCAGGAAATCTCCTCTTTACCATGCGCGCTACATCGACGACGGGCTAATCATTTGGCCAGGGACGCGGGTAGAACTGGAAGCCTACCTGCAAACCTTCAACGTGCTTGATCCTGACATTAGGATCACATGGTCTATCTCGGATCGCTCCATAGATTTTCTTGACGCTGTTCTTTTCAAGGGGCCGCGTTTTAAGGAGCGGGGTACTTTGGACTTCGGCACGAACTAGAAGCCGATGAACAAGTATCTCTACTTGCTCTTCGCTTCCTTTCACCCACGACACTGCAAGGATTCTTTCATTCGCGCAGAGCTTAGACGTTACCTTCTTCGCTCAACCTCAGCTGCAACTTTCCTCGCAACAAAGCGGTCTTTCTTCCTCCGCCTTCGTGATCGTGGTTACCCACCCGTGTTTCTGCACCCCATCTTCAAAAGTGGTTATCTTGTAGCAGTACTCATCATTCTTCCTATCTGTCCTTCCCTCCCCATGCGCAGACGTGGCGACGTAGTGCAAAGAATTTTTGCAGTTCGTCCGCGACGCACGCAACGAGTACGCGATCGACAATCGATACATAATCAACGCCGACCAAACGCCTCTTTGGTTGGAGATGCCGGCCACTACGACCGTGGAGCAGACGGGCGTGAAGTCGGTGCCCATCCGCAGCGGTGGTTACCAGAAAGAAAGAGTCACCGTGATGCTGGCGTGCACGGCGACGGGCGAGAAGTTGAAGCCGTAGGTGTTTTTCAAGCGCAAGACACTGCCAAAGGGTGACTTCCCGAACAGTAAGCACATGTTCTTGTGCGTGTTTTGGACGTTCAAAACAAAAAAGGGATTAACCACCGCTTGCTTGTGTGCAGATGTCGTGGTCGGCTGCCAAGCGAATGGGTGGATGGAGGCCACGAGCGTCATCCAGTGGCTCGATGAGGGCGTGGTGTCGTTCCTGAAACCGAAATTCGGCGTGCAGAGTCGGAGCGCCATGCTAGTACTCGACTCCTACCATGGTCACCTTACCAAGGAAGTCAAGGCGAGATTCACGGCGCTCAACATCGTGCCGGCGGTCATCCCGGCGGGATGCACGGCAGACGTGCAGCCGCTCGATGTGTCGGTGAACAAGAGCTTCAAAGCGAGTGTTCGCCAGCAGTACCAGTCCTGGTTTGAGGCAGACGGCATGAACATTCTGACACCTGCAAGTGAGCGACGACATGTCCTCCCGTCTCCCCTTCGTGTGCTTGTCTGCCTGCTTGTGGACTAATGTGTTCCCCACTCCATTTCATGTGGTGCAGGGAACATCAAGAAACCACCCCCGGTGGTGGTGCTCAAGTGGATTTCACAGGCGTGGAAGGCCGTGCCCGCCGACCTGATTAAGAAAGCCTTCCTCACGTGCGGCATCAGCAATGCCCTTGACGGGAGCGAAGACCATCTGGTGATGGCGCACCGGAGAAGCCAGCTGAGCCACGAGGTAGAGATAGACGACGACATCCAAGCAGACGGGTTCTGGGGCAACAACGCCACGGAGCCTGAACCGGACATGGAGGAAGAGCAGGCCTAAGGCTAGACTAGGCAAGATGATGGTGTTTAGGCAAGGACAATAGTCACCAAATTGTATGTGAAACTTTTAGCTAGTGCAAAATTACAACTAATGAAGGCTAGCCTTGCTTTAGCTCCAACAATAATGACAACTATTCAACAAGTACTTTTATTTTTTTACTGCAAGGGTGCACTTATAATAAGTAACGATTTTATAAGGGGTGCGCTTCTAATTGAGGATCGGCCATAAGCGCATGCGCTTTTAATAGGCCTGCGGTTATATCTAGGGCGATACGGTATGTTATACACTAGAAAAAATGCTTGGGTTGTCTTGTATTTGGGATGGTTTAGGGTGTCTTATAAGTCTTATAAATCGACAAAAAAGCGTTCAGAAGATACCCCCTCGTTATAAGATTACCCCTAAACCCTACTGAGGTACTGTTTAGAAGACACTGCCTTAACTCATACACACCTACAGGTGTCTTATAATTAGGAACACCCATTTATAAGAGACACCCGTTTTAAAGACACCCCCCTGCCTTCTATTCAACACTGTCTTATATCCGGGTGATGGCGGTATGCCTCATATCCCCATCGCACACTGAAGGAAACAGGACATGGAAAGCCTATCAATCAAATATGGAGCCCTAGTGAACATTGCTCTAAGAAGCTAACAGGTGCCACTGTTGGCCTTCTACAGTGTACTATTTTCTTACCACTAGCTCAGTGATCAGCACATATTCACGCAGGAGGGTAACATTAACACAACATCCGTACAGCTCCCATAGAGGCTATTTGCTACAACAAGTGCAAAAAAATGCTGCTGCGGCTGCTTCTTCTTTAGGCACCTCAGAAAAGGCCACTCGCTACAACCAAAACAGACAAATTTTGCCACCCGTATGGTAGCACAGGGTAACATAACTTCCCTACGGTACGGCTCCCATAGAGGCTATTTGCTACAACCAGTGCAAAAAAAATATTCTGCAGCTGCTTTTTCTTCAGGCGCCTCAAAAGAGGCCACTTGCTACAAGCAAAACAGACAAATTTTGCCACCCGTAGCTGCGAATCACACAGGTGCATGGAGCAATGGCGTCCATACAGACAGATCGGATCGATTTGGGTTCAAGTCAAGTCCATCTACCATGCCAGCCGAACTATGAACGAGCTTTGTACCGGTAACCGGATCTACCTAGTGGGCGCTCCTCCTAGTGGGCGCTCCTCCTTGTGGGCACTCCTCCTAGTGGGCGCTCCTCCTTGTGGGCGCTCCTCCTAGTGGGCGCTTCTCCTCCCACGTGACAGCTTTCTTCAAAGCCTATCTAAGCCTATCTAAGCCTAAGTAACCCTATGTAAGCTCTTCTTCACTGTTGACTGAAGACTGCCGGCTTCAAAGCCGAAGGCCTTCACTCTTGGCTTTGTGGGATGCAGCAGCCCGCCAGCAACCCCTGGCAGCTACCGTACACTTCCAGAGGACTCTTATCCCCATCGCTCGCACAACGCTGTCTGCTGCCTGCCTGCCCATAATGTCGCAGGGGTGTTTTTGAGAAATCTAACAGAAACGCTCGTCTCCGTGCTGCAGAATGTCCGACCGACTCACAAACCCAGTACTACACGCTCTGCAGAGGGATCTCGAGGCTATGACTCGTACCCCTATCGAACATCGCTCTCTGCTGCCTGCCCGTACTCGTCCCTGTTGCCGAATGTCCGACTCAAAGCCCCTCTTCCCCCCCGCAGTACCACTCTGCTGCCACGGATTTATCCGTCTCCCCAATCGCAAGAAACCATCAGGCCTCTTTCTCGTACCCCCATCGCACAACACTGTCTGCTGCCTGCCCGTACTCGTCCCTGTGCTGTAGAATGTCCGACTCAAAGCCCCTCTTCCCCCCGCAGTACTGCTCTGCTGCCACGAATATATCCGCCTTGGCGATCACCAGCTTGTCTAGGATCGACACGATGCCTGGGAGGGAGACACAGAGAGGAAGGGCAGGGAGGAAGAGGGGTTGGGTGAGGTAGGTCAGGTGGTAAGAGCCCGCACTACTGCTCTGCTGCCACGAATATGTTTGCCTTGGCAGTCACCAGCTTGTCAAGGATCGACACGATGCCTGGGCAGGAGAGACGGGGAGGAGGAACGGCAGAGGAAAAAGACAGGGGGGAAAAGGGGGTGAGTGAGGTGCCTAGGTTGCTTAGGGTGGTAAGAGCCCGCACTACTGCTCTGCTGCCCGAATTTGTCTGCCTTGGCAGTCACCAGCTTGTCTAGGATTGATACGATGCCTGTGAGTGGGCAGGGCAGAGAGAACAGACGAGTGGGGGTTGACAGGGGAAAAAAGGGGTAGCTGGGGTGCTGTGAGGCACCAGTACCCCTCTGCTGCCACGAATATATCCGCCTTGGCGATCACCAGCTTGTCGAGGATTGATACAATGCCTGAGAAAGGGAGAGACAGGGAGGAAAGAGGCGTTGAGTGAGGTAGCTCGGATTCCTTGAGCCTGCCCTCTGCTGCCACGAATATATCCGCCCTGGCGATCACAAGCTTGTCGAGGATTGATACGATGCCTGGGGGTTGAAGATAGAGAGGAAGACAGGGGAGAAAGGCAAGGGGGAATAGGGAGTGGGTGGGGCAGGTAGCTCGAGTGTTATGAGCCGGCACTACTGCTCCGCTGCCAAGGATACACCCGCCGTGGTGATTACAAGCTTCTCAAGATGCGCACCCACACCCACCTGGATCATAGCCGTTCACAGCAGGCACGACCTCGTCGATCATGACCGTCCCCCCCACATGCTGCCTCAACCATTTCAGCGCTCCTCTGGACGCCCGGCCCGTGTTCGCCCGCCCCAGCCACACCTCCATGCTCTGCCATGACTCTGATCTTGGTTGGACTGCAGCTGACGCGTTGAACGGGATGTCTGCCGCTATAAACACTGTTGGCCCTTCTACAACTTGCCCTAACCCATTGATCAACTGCTCCTGCTTCTGTCCCTGCTTCCCCTGATTTTCCTGCTGAACCTGCTCCTGCCAGTGCTGGGTTTGCAGCTTTTTCCTGACTTGGTTGATCTTGCTCGCTGCTCCCTGCACACACACTGCCATCTGCTGCCGCAGATTATGCTGCACCTCCTCCCAGGTCAAGTTGGCGTTTAAGCCTTGTGCCTGCGGGAGGGAAACCAGAGAGATTGGAGGGGAATCAGAGAGGAGGAGAATCAGAGAGTAGTTTAGAGATGAATCAGGAGCATACGTGCACGCCCATGACTGGCATGCACATTCAAGGAGAGTAACTCACCAGCACGAGGCACGTACCACATTCAAGGAGAGTAACTCACCAGCACGAGGCACGTACCACATTCTAGGAGAGTAACTCACCAGCACGAGGCACGTACCACATTCAAGGAGAGTAACTCACCAGCACGAGGCACGTACCACATTCTAGGAGAGTAACTCACCAGCACGAGGCACGTACCACATTCTAGGAGAGTAACTCACCAGCACGAGGCACGTACCACATTCAAGGAGAGTAACTCACCAGCACGAGGCACGTACCACATTCAAGGAGAGTAACTCACCAGCACGAGGCACGTACCACATTCAAGGAGAGTAACTCACCAGCACGAGGCACGTACCACATTCAAGGAGAGTAACTCACCAGCACGAGGCACGTACCACATTCAAGGAGAGTAACTCACCAGCACGAGGCACGTACCACATTCGAGAGTAACTCACCAGCACGAGGCACGTACCACATTCAAGGAGAGTAACTCACCAGCACGAGGCACGTACCACATTCAAGGAGAGTAACTCACCAGCTAAAGGCACGTACCACATTCAAGGAGAGTAACTCACCAGCTAAAGGCACGTACCACATTCTAGGGAAGTCGTCCCATGCGTAAATCACACATACCACGTTCCAGGAGATGAACTCAGAGCTGAAGTGTTTTTTAGTGACTGGCTTGGGCAGTCAAGAATAGTCGCTCACACACACACGGGGCACGTACCTTGATCCAGTCATGATATCACATGGATACATACCACGTTCCAGGAGATGAACTCGGAGCGGAAGTGAACGCCAAAGACTGGCTTGGGCAGCTTCGCGATGATCTGAGCAGCGGTGTCGTGCCACGTGCCATGGGATGGGATGAACTTTCACGGGCGGGCTTCCACATTGAAGAAGAGTATCTCGCCAGCAGACGGCACTCACCACGTTCCAGGAGATGAATTCAGAGCAGAAGTGCACGCCAATGACTGGCTTGGGCAGTCAAGGAGAGTCGCTCATACACCCACAGGGCACGCACCTTGATCCCCATTGTTCCACACACGATGTCCCATAGAGTACGCACCATGTTCCAGGAGATGAATTCAGAGCGGAAGTGCACGCCAATAACTGGCTTGGGCAGTCTAGCAGTGATCTGAGCAGCCATGTCGTGCCATTTGGCCCGGTAGGGCAGCACTGCGCGCGCAACCACGTCTGTCTTGGGCACGTAATCGATGCGCTGGAAAGTTGTTTTCATCCACACCACCACGTCTCGGTCGCTCCTGTACATGTGGCACACAGCATTGCAGGCACAAACACACACGAACGTGGGAAATCACACAGGGGTCACAACCACGTCTGTCCGTGGCACGTATTTGATGCACTGGAAGGTTGTGTTCATCCACACCACCACATCCCTGTCGCTCCTGCATGCAGAGATGCGCAGGCAGGGGCAGGCACACACGCACACATAGGAGCGCACACACAGGGGTCACAACGAAGTCTGTCTCGGGCACGTATTCGATGTGCTGGAAAGTCGTTTTCATCCACACCACCATGTCCCTGTCGCTCCTGTGCAGAAGTAGGATATTGCAGACGTACTTAAACCGACATAGAAGGGCATACCAGAGACAGGCCATACCGAAGACGTCAAATAAGTGAAGTTCTGAGACGTCTCATAACTTCACTTATTTCACATGCATGGAGACGCATACTGAAGACGTCCTTCACCATAGCATGCATGGAGGAGCATGGTCGGTCTAAGGATGTTACTTGTATGTATGCATACAAAGTAATGTCGATAGACATAGCATGCATGGAGTAGCATAAAAAATAACGTTCTTAGACTGACCATGCGTTCAGGAACGTATTGAAGACGTCCTTAGAGCATGCATGGTGTAGCATAAAAGTAACATCCCTAGAGTGACCATGCATGGAGGAGCATATTAAAGACATCTTTGGAGATACCACACAAGAAGTAGCATAGAATAACAACATTCTTGGACTCACCATGCTTGGAGCAGCACATTAAAGACGTCCTTAGACTGACCATGCATGCAGTAGCATATTAAAGACGTCCTTAGACTGACCATGCATGCAGTAGCATATTAAATACCTCCTTAGACTGACCATGCTTGGAGCAGCATATTAAAGACGTCCTTAAACTGACCATGCATGGAGGAGCATATTAAAGACGTCCTTAGACTGCGGCATCTTGACATCAATAGTGTTGCTGGGCACAGGCACATGACCCATGGAGAACGTCAGCACTTGCCCCAGGATCTCCTTTAGCTCTCCTGCACCATGCAGCATCACACAAAGAGAAACAAGTAATCAAATACGTGGCACCGTCACGGGCATGATCCCCATGGCGATTTTCAGCACCTGCCCCAAGACCTTCACTAGCTCTCCTGCGCGATGGATGATGCATGGGGTTGAGGAAGGCGGCACAAGCAGTGAGGAGGAAGAACTCAGGCGACACCCACTCCACCCGGCAGAAACAAGAGAGGTCCCTACCACCATTTACCTCCCTCCCAACCCTTCCCAACCCTAAACCTTAAACCCCGAAAACCAAAACCCAAAAACACAGCCACTCCACCCAGGGGAAGCGTGAGAGGCAATATCAGCACTCCACCACCCCCCAGCCTGCCCACACACGGTAGTTGAAGCAGGGCCGGCGCAGAACCTCCGTCTTGACACACACGAAGCCCACGGAGGGGTTGAGAAAGGCGGCACGCGCGGTGAGGAGGAAGAACTCGGAAGACACCCACTCCACGCGTGAGAAGCGCGAGAGGTCCCAGTAGGAGCACAGGGGGTGCTGGCGGGCCACTGAGAGCCGGCTGCAGTCCGCCTGGAAGCGGGAAGCGGGAGAAGGGGGTTACGTGTGATGAGTAAGACGTGTCAAGCAGCGCGAGAGGTTCCAGTAGGAGCACAAGGCGTGCTGGCGGGCCACTGAGAGACGCCTGGAAGGGGAAAGGGTGGAATTATGCGTGGAGGGTAATGCGCTTCAAGAAGCGCGAGAAATCCCGGTAGGAGCACAGACAAGGCCCACTTACGGAGAAAGGAAAACCTACACTAGATTAAGAAGAAAGAAAGAAAGAAAACAAACAGACAAGCAAAAAAAAGCATACCCTAGGCGACAGCAAGACCCACCTTGGGCAGCACGAGGATGCGCCCAGATTCATCTGCCATGCGAGCAGCCTTCTTTTGAGGCGCCTCAGGATGGCTGTTTCGATCAGCACCCACCTTGGGCCTGTATTGACCAGCACCCACCTTGGGCCTGTATTGACCAGCACCCACCTTGGGCCTGTATTGACCAGCACCCACCTTGGGCCTGTATTGACCAGCACCCACCTTGGGCCTGTATTGACCAGCACCCACCTTGGGCCTGTATTGACCAGCACCCACCTTGGGCCTGTATTGACCAGCACCCACCTTGGGCCTGTATTGACCAGCACCCACCTTGGGCCTGTATTGACCAGCACCCACCTTGGGCCTGTATTGACCAGCACCCACCTTGGGCCTGTATTGACCAGCACCCACCTTGGGCCTGTATTGACCAGCACCCACCTTGGGCCTGTATTGACCAGCACCCACCTTGGGCCTGTATTGACCAGCACCCACCTTGGGCCTGTATTGACCAGCACCCACCTTGGGCCTGTATTGACCAGCACCCACCTTGGGCCTGTATTGACCAGCACCCACCTTGGGCCTGTATTGACCAGCACCCACCTTGGGCCTGTATTGACCAGCACCCACCTTGGGCCTGTATTGACCAGCACCCACCTTGGGCCTGTAAATTCCTTGGCCACGCGAGCAGCCCTATCAGTCAACTCAGAAAAAACAACCATCCACCTTGGGTCTATGCCAACCAGCACCCACCATTGGGCAGCACGAGGTTGCGCCCGGCTTCCTCTGCCACGCGAGCAGCCTATTCTTGAGGCGCCTCAATAACAGCACCCACCGTGGGCCTATATTGCACAACTCCCACCGTGGGCCTATATTGCACAACACCCACCGTGGGCCTTCATGGACCAACACTCACATTGGGCAGCTCGAGGATGCGCCCAGATTCCTTTGCCACGCGAGCAGCCCTTTCAGTCAACTCAGAAAAAACATCCATCCACCTTGTGCATTTACCGACAGCACTCACCTTGGGCAACACGAGGATGAGCCCGGATTCCTCTGCCACGCGACGCGAGCAGCCTATTTTGAGGCACCTAAAAAATATTCAACAACACCCACCTTGCACCTTTTAGAGACTCCACTTTGAGCCTGACTCACATTGGGCAGCACGAGGATGCGCCCGGATTCCTCTGCCACGCGAGCAGCCTCCGCCAGGTGCGTTCTGGCGTTGCTCATCTGCTCCATGGTGAACGCCACCACCAGGTACTTGCGCCGCGAGAAGTTCTGAGGGAAGGGGAAGAAAGAAGGAGTGCAGAACGGTGGGTGTGGGTGTGGGTGTGGGTGTGGGTGTGGGTGTGGGTGTGGGTGTGGGTGGCGTTGCTCATCTGCTCCATGGTGAACGCCACCACCAGGTACATGCGCCGAGAGAAGTCCTGAGAAAGAAAACAGGGGAGATGGAAGGAGTGCAGTCCGGTGGGTTGGTGTGGGTGTGGGCGTGGGAGGTTTTGATCCTTTGCTCCATGGTGAACGCCACCACCAGGTACTTGCGCCGAGGGAAGTCCTGCGAGGGCAAAGAGAGGAGAAAGAAGGTGTGCAGTGCGGTGGGTGGGCGTGGAAGTGAGAGTGGGATTGGGTGGCGTTGCTCATCTGCTCCATGGTCAGCGCCACCACCAGGTACTTGCGCCGAGAGAAGTCCTGAGAGGACAAACAGGGGAGATGGAAGGAGTGCAGTCCGGTGGGTTGGTGTGGAAGTGAGAGTGGGTGGCGTTGCTCATCTGCTCCATGGTCAGCGCCACCACCAGGTACTTGCGCCGAGGTAAGTCCTGCAAGGGAGGGGAAAAAGGAGGAGTGGAGTTCGGTGCGTGGGTGTGGGTGTGGGTGCGGGTCGAGGTTGTGCGTGGCGTTGCTCATCTGATCCATGATGAGCCCCATGTGTGTAGGAAGAAGCTAGGGAAGGGGGAGCGGGAAGGGGAAGGGGAAGGGGGGATTCGAAGATAGAATTAGACACGCTCCGGGGTTGCATGGCAGCGTTGGCGTTCCAAATCTGCTCCGTGCTTCCGCTAGGTTGTGGCTTAGAGAGGGGAAGGAGCGGCTTGCCAGAAGTTCAGGTCGTAACCAACAACTCTCACAACTCTCTATAAGATTCTGAGACCAGACCTCGCCGAAAATCAACGAAGAAACGTGACTCTCATTACTCAGAGATGCAACGTACACTGAGATAGGAGAACGGCACGTGGGGAACCGGCCAGCACGACTCCGGCCACTGCTCGCACTGCGACGAGCTCTCACTCGCCAGCGACCTCTCTACATGTCGCATACGGTCGCACACTTTCGTCACCCCCTCTGATATGTTCTCAAAACTAACATATCCCTCGTTGAACGCATGTATCAGGTGATTCTTGCTGGTAACCCGATGTAACAAGTCTTGGTGCCACCCTTGGCTGCATAGCACGCCAAATCCGCCATTCTGACGCTGTTCCACGTCGGTATAATCCGGATCAGAGTTTTCCTGTAACCGCCGTTCTTTGCGGCCGTTGGTTGGCGCATTTACCGGAGCTGAAGAATCAACAGCGGCTGCATCGGTGCTACTTTCGTTTCTATTGTCGGTAGTCTTCTCTCTGACACTGATGGCTCCCCTGCTGCTATCCTCGCGGACGCTGCTTGCTCTAGTTGAAGGGAGGGTCTTCCTGCTCCTGCTGCTGCTGCTGCTACCGCTGACATTGTCGCTACTCGTGTCGTCGCTGCTGCTGCTGCTGCTGCTGCTGCTGCTGCTGCTGCTGCTGGTGCTGCTGCTGGTGTCCGCACTGGTCTTTCCCCTGCTACCATTTCCGCTACCAGGTTCGAGCGAGAATAGACGATTCGCCTCGGCTTCTCTAGCAGCAGCGCGCCGAGCCCATTCCTTAAACGAAGCGCACGCGCTGGCTTGACAAGGCCCCACCAATTCTACTAACTTATCCTTCCTTACCTTGGTAATAAAAGTCGATCTCAGTGTTCTCATACAAGACTTCGACATGTTAAGGGTTAGGTTTACGGATCGTGCGGCTGTGACGTAGATCGTTACAGGAAGGTTTTCTCTATCGTCGGTACTTAGCAAAGAGAGAATCTCAGCTGAGACGCTACCCGCCGAATGTCCCCCTTGCAGCATCACTCGGAAACTGCATAATAGTAAGACAAGCGTAAAAAAGAACAGTATTCTCGTGGCTGTTTGGAAGGATACGATCCTGGGCGTATGTACGATATGCCGACGAGAACTTGAAAAGGGAGGCGCACCGGGAGTGCTTCGTACATGTCCGCCGCATTCCTTCTCTTGCTCCACCAACTGCTCCTCCACCACACCCATTGCGAATCGCGGCTTAAAACGTAAAATTATGACTCTTCTTCGAGTGGACTAACTCTACCTAACATGGAGTGTTATGAATGGGACATACTAACCACTTCAATACGGCTAAAAAACGTGTTGGGTCATGCACAAGATGTGCAAGTGCGTGCCTAATCGTCAGCTTCGACAAAGACAGTTGAGCAGGCTATGCAAAGTCCGCCATTTTAGAAGCGGTACTTCACGGTGCGGCGTGCATTCCGTCACAAACGAGCTGGCGGGATCGAGGAGGGCCTTCTTAAGCTAAACCAAAAAGCTCGACTTCTGCACGAAGCCAGAGAAGCGTGTAGAAGGAAAAAGTATCCTAGCAACTAAGAATGTTGGGTCGGGATTCTGAGCGGCGATAGGTTATGCAACTGCCTCCGCTAGCTGCTGTTTTTCAAGTATGATAAGCTCACTCAAACTCCTTTACGACTACTGTAATGGGTTCCTGGATTACGTGGGAATCAGACATTGGACCGACAAAAGCTGTCTCCACTGGCACGATTGGACGGAGGGAAGGTGATATAATGGAGGACACACAACGGCAGCATAATTACGCGACCACACATGGATCGCATCGCATGATCAGCGAATAGGCACAAGCGCATTGAGAGGAGGGTGGTGGGTTCTGACAAAACTCTCATGCTGGAAACTTTCTCGATGCTAATGAAACTCCCGATGTTCACAAAGCTCTTGATAAATACTCACGAATGATGATGTAACGTACTTGATGCTCCCGAAGCTTTTGGGAGGAGACGGGGGGAGACATCATTTAGGTAGTGTTCGAAATTCTCAGGGAGTGGAAATTCCCGCCTCTTTTCTGTCCAGCCAGTGGTGCTTTGGGCGCCACGTCCATTGTCGGCTGTCAGAAGCCTGACGTCGTACTCAAAGTCGACTGGTTGACATCAGCGGCCGAATCGCTGTTGCTGACATGAAAGTCCTTAAAATTTGCCGACATAATACTGTGTATATACAGTAATCCAGGCAGCCAGAGTACAGACACCACAATTACACCCTGCTTCTCGCTAGACGAACATCTGGTGTGATAGCCTGGACGTTTGTTGAAACCCAATGCACCTAAGAAGGTGCTATCATACAGTCTAGTCACAAATCTGTTACGTTATAGACGGGTATGTCTACTTGTAGATATGGTTGGGAAATGTATTCAGTGTTAACTGATCTTTCATACCCCAGTGCTTGTTTGTCGCCTCAAGCGGCTTCGACCTCATCTTTCAAGGTTCGGTTTAGGCCATCAGCCTGCTAAATCCAAACATTGTAGCCAGTGCTTGTACCGGTAAGGAGGTCTAGAACGAGGGTGTACGTATAGTATGGTCACTTTTGAAGTTCAATATTGGAAATAATAAGGTCGCTAGTGCGCAGTGGAAGCTCTAGGAAGATAACGACGTCCCTGCGGCGGGGGCTATGGTCACTCGGAGGTGGTGCCAAAGCGGCGGCCGAGGGTAGGCCGGACACAAGGTTGATAATTGTGTAATAATAACAAGGCATTACATTCTGTTATATAGGAAACACATACAGGCAGGCAGTTACCGTAAGCCCCCGGATAGAAGTGCCCCTGGGGGTATAAAATGTTAGAATTTGAAATGATTGAATATGATCGTAATACTTAGGATGGTAGCTTTCTGTCGTAGCGGAAGTCTTGTATGAATTAAAGCCAATTAATGAGGCTTTGTCTTGACTAGTGAAAGCCCATGTAGTGATATATTTCAGGATCAATGTCTCTGAAATCAGATATATTATAAAATGACAAGCATACAGAATATATAACTAGAGTAAAGTACATGTTCGCCTATTGTACTTTGCTATTCCTGTTCTGAAACGGTACGTAACTTTTCGCGATGTCTATAGCTACGTGCTGACGTCATCCTAGGGCGCGTAGCGCTTTGCTGACGTCAGCCTATCGGTACTTTACTGTACTACACGAATTTCCTTGAAGTGTAAGTCTCGATATTATCTCAACACTCCCCTTCACTTCTAGGAGTTCGGTGTAGTTACCCAGTTGTCTCAGAAATTCCGCTGAGCTTGTTGCAGTGGTGGAATTTCTGTCGTGTCAGCTTCTTGGTAAGTGAGTCAGCTGCCATGTCACCAGTGGGACAGTAGACAAGGCGCATTCTCCCCTTGTCGATCGCATCTTTGACGAAGAAGTAACGCAGTGAAATATGTTTCGTGCGATTGACGAAGCCGGGTTTGTTGGCGATGGTAATTGCACTCTGGTTGTCGCACTGCAACGTAAACTGATTCGGTGTGACGAACTTTGCTTCGTCGAGCAGTTCCTGTAAGTATAGTCCTTCTCGAGTTGCAGCACACGCGGCAATGAATTCTGCTTCAGCCGAGGAAAGTGACACGAGTTCCTGTTTCGATGAGTTCCACGAGATCGGACCGATTGGCTCGAGACGGAAAATGGAGCCTGTTCGTGACCGTCGATCTGACGTGTCACCAGCGTGGTCTGCGTCAACATATCCGCTGAGGTACATTTTGTCGGTCGGTTTTCCTGTGTTGAAAATCAGCCCGACTGTTGGTGTTGCGACAAAGTAGTGTAGAGCGCGCTGAAGATCGAGGTGATGTTCTTCTTTTGGGCAGCGTAAAAATTGTGCGAGATAGCTTGCGACGTAAGCAAGGTCGGGACGACACGTGACTGCTGCGAAGAGAAGACACCCGAGTTGCTGCTGGTACAATTGTAGACCAGCTGCCGAAAGTTTGGTGTTGTTTAGGATGTTCCCGGTAGGTGTAGACCGATACGGTGTAGCGACGTAATCTGTAGAAATCTTGAAACGCTTAGCGAGTGACTCAGCATATTTCGATGCTGTGAGGTGGATGGCGGAGGAGGTTCGCGAAATGTTTAACCCAAGAAATTGAGTTACTTCGGTGGAGACGGTTAAATCAAGGGATTTTTTCAGATCTGCTTCGATGCGATCACCCAAGGAAACCAAAGAACTGACATAGAGAATATCATCCACGTATGCCACGAGCAGTGCGTAGCTCCCCTTGTCGTCTAGTCGATACATTCCGGGATCATGCGGCAGTTGTCGGAACCCAACCTCTGTAAGTTTCTTGTTCAAATGCTGCTGCCACAGTCGCGGTGCTTGTTTGATGCCGTACAGTGACTTCTTGAGCTTGCAGACACTTGGCGGATTTGTTGGATAGGTATGCGTATATTCGACGTAGATTTCAGCATCGACGTCAGCGTATAGAAATGCGTTGGAAACGTCAATTTGTCGAAGCGGAAAATTCTTCGCAGCTGCTTCGCAGATGACGAGACGAACACTTGTGTGTCGGCTGACCGGGGCGAAGGTTAGCGTGTAGTCTACCCCATGAGTTTGGTCAAAACCGCGAACAACCCACCTTGCCTTATGTTTTTCATAAGAGCCGTCAGCTTTCGTCTTCACCCTGAAGACCCATTTTCCGGTAAGAATATTTTTATTTGTAGCTTTTTCGATGGGTATGAGATCCCAAGTCTCCCGTTTTTCCAGGGCAGCCAGTTCACGATCCATGGCTTCACGCCATTTTTCGCGATGTGGTCCTGAAAGGGCCTGTCGGGCAGTTTTCGGTTCTGCGACTTCTGTAGAATTATGCTGTACTGCTGCTGCGAGTCCCAGTATCTGAAGCCCAGTTTGATAATTAGGACTGTCTTCGGTCCGTCCTGCGAAATTGACAGGTTCACTCTGTTCACCACTTGCCCCCCCAATTTCGTCAGGATCGACGCGGATGCTGCTGTCAGTTACAGCTGGCATGGGACGGCGTTGATCATCCACCAGGTAAGTATGATGAACTTCACGAACATCGTCCGGATGAGTGTCAACGAGAGGAATGAATTCCGGAAATCCGGAAGAGGTGGTTGGTATAGGTGGATCAGGAGCTGCTTCACTTGCACTGTCAATGTCAGGTTCTTCGCTGGCAGCAAGTGTGAAGATAGTGTGTAGAGTTAGGAGCCATAGCTAGGT